CACCCTACCCAATCACAGCCTCGGAACCTTGTTCCGCCATCTCATTGGCTCGCTCAGAGCGCCTCTAGCCAATCTTCCAAAAGGAGCAGACCCCGCCACAGCCCAGACAATACATACTCCAAAACCCAGCAGTCGTCACCTGATGGCCCACGATATGACCACATTGTCGTTCGATCTTCGCACATCCGTAGAGCATGCCGTCGCAATGCCCGTCTTCCCAACCCCACGTGCACTCGGACGCACCCGAGCCGGAATCTCTGTGACACAGGGACCACCACAACCGAGCCAGTGGGCTCACATCCTACATAGCCATCTAGACCAAGTCCACTCTACCCCATTTTGTTTTCCAACCCACTTCCTTCATGCACGCCCATGACGTACCGTAAGTTTACCAAAATCCATTTTGGTAGGTGATGAACAACATCTGAGACGTCGCATGTATGAGAAGCACACTAGAAGATTCCGCGCATCCAACGCATGAGGCGGAAACCCCATGTTCCGACTATTGACATCGGGAAAGAAGCAATCGATACCGGAAGGTCGCAGTTCGAGACACGCGTGACGTGCCATGTGGCGCAGGGTATCGTGGTGAATTAGTGCAAATGAATAACTCGGAATCGGGATAATGATACTGCAGAAGATGAAAAGAAGTTTGTGCTGGCTCCGATGTCGATTCATATTTGGCCCTTGATGTCTACTTTGCTGAATGCGGCGGCACGCAGGCTTTCGAATTGAGATGCGGCTTCTCGGATCCTGACACGATATTGACCATCGCCTTTGTCTTCAATGACGTTCTGGGCACCGTGGGTTTCGAGGAATTCACGGCATATCTCATCGTTGTCGAAACCAAGTTCGTCAGTGAGGAAGCGGAGTGTGACATTTACATATCTACAGCTTGTTAGCAAAAACCTGCACGATTGGGAACCCGTGTACATACCCTCTGGACATATTAGCTAGAGCATTGAGGCGCTCACGCTCGACGAACATGTCCATGAGATAAGCGCCCATGTTCTCTGCTTCGAGGTACAGTCTGAAAAACTTATGATAATTGCCAAGGGCAAGCGAAGACCGAACGTCCAGAGCATGCTTGATCCATGGGTGGGATTTGTCTGCGAGGGTTAATTCTGCCAACATGTCGTTCATGTCGGTCTTGTTGCACGTATATACGAAGTAGAGAATGCGGTACGCCTTGAACTCAGCCGGGTTGCCTCCCAAGTTCTGCGCATACAGTGCCTTCAGCTGCGTCTGGCACTGATTATACTCACCCAAATCCCCCTTTTCTAATGATATCCGGGCGTGGATCTCATACACCTTGACAGTAAAGGCGTTCTTGATGTGCTGAACAGTAAGATCCTGGCGGATTGACTTGAATTGATTACAGATGTAGTTGTAGTTCTTTTCCGCCTTCCACTTTTCCACAAGCATGGCCAAGGTCTTCTTGAGCACATGGAGCGGTCGGACGGTTTCAGCTTTGGGCGGGGCCGTAAGGCGGAAGTAGCTTTTCTCGAGATTTTCGTTCGTTCCAACAACAGGTCCAGTGGGCATTTCGTCTTCATCCTTACGCGATGAGCCCCATGGGGGCGTCGTCTTGGTGCCATTGTTGCCGAGCTGGAAGCGCTGTCGTCGCTTGTCAAGCTCAGCCTGGTCAAACTTACTTGCGGCATCCGAGAGGGCGTTCTTCTTCTGGCGCTTTTCGTTGTGTCCGTCGGCAAAGGTCATACGAGATGCTAGGTTAGTTTTGCGCCACGGTGGGACATTGGCTTGTGTTTGCTCGACTTGTGCATTCTCAGCTTCGTGGGCATTGCGCTTCTTTGATTGCGTTGGAGATGTGTTAGTGTGTGCGGCTGAGCCATTCATGTATGCAGGGTGTATGCCGTTGGGAACAGCAGTAGCAGGCATTCCAAGAGCCGCCGCCCTTCGTTCCTCCATGAGAAGCTCTTGGGGAAGAGGGAATGTAGGCCAATGAACAGTGTCGTGCGAGTTGCGCTCGGCGAACCAACCGATGGTTGTCTTTAATCGCGCCTGCATGTCTGCTTGGGAGATGCCTGGGATGGCGTTTTGCGGATCGAAAGCACGCCTAACGTATTCGCGGACGGCGGGAGGCCACTCGACCTTCTTCTTCGGAGCTTCCGGAGCCATGACTGGCTGCTGGCGTGTGTGAGCGTGGATTGGAACTCTCGTATAAGTGAGGAGACTAACAGGCGCGGGCGCAGGTTGGAGTGTGGTGCGTGGGTTGACTGCGTTGTACGCGGGTGACTGCATTGGCCGGGACCAGGCTACAGTGGCAGAGGGCAACGACATAAGCAGGCAAGCAAACCAAAAGAAGTGAAACCCAGATTGACTGTTGTGTGAGTAGGTAAAGGCGAGAAAAAGAGATGTGGGAGAGATGGCGCGGGGATGGATCTATTGTTGTGGAGGTGAGAGTGAAGCGACGGCCCGCTCGACTGATTTGCGTCGCAGTGGTCGCGCTTTGCTTGGCGACGACTAGCGTGGGTCTAGCCGCAAGCAAGCTAGCCCTGGCCAATGACGACTGCTGGGCCCGGGCCTGGCTGGTGAATGCAGGCGGGATCGGGTCATCGTCGACTCGACCCAATGCGATGGACGTACCTCGCATTTTCCAACTTGCGAATGGTCTGAATGTTCCTGCATCAACTCGACCTCACAACCGCACTGCGCCCGTCGCTCCTGCCGGAGGAGACGCTGCTTTTCGTCCAAGACGCCGTAGGGCTCTATGAGGGGTATGCGCATGTTCCCCAGGGCTCTTATACGCTGCTGACCAGGCACATAGGAAATTCAAGATCCCCCAGTACCAGAATGGCCAGTCATACTTGACGTCGCATCGCGTCTGCTATGTCGATCATAGCGAGCCACGCAAGAACTCCGTCGCTATCTTCCTCAAGGACGTCGAGAAACCAGAATTCTATGTGTGCATCCCCCTGCGTGCAAAGTAGAGGCACCCGACACTAACGACATACAGGCCGGCTTCCTCAAGTCGTCGCCCAAGATCACATTATATCCAAAGCCCCTAAAACAGTTGACGCGTGGCGCGTCCGTTCCCTCGCATCCTCAGGCCACATCGTCGTTAACTCCTCCACGACACAGTAGTCCGGCACCACCGCCCCCAGCGAGCGCGACCTGGGTGTGCCCTATCTGCTCTTTCTCGAACCCGGTCCCGTCCAACTTCGACCCCGCGCTCGCATCACGTACACCCATACCGCCTTGTCTAGCATGTGGAATTAAGCCGCCGACCGTGCATGTAGTCAAGGCAGCCATAGCAGCCATCTCAAACAGACCAGCGCCTGGGCCACCTCCCAAAGATACAAAGGGTAGCGTTCCTGCTCCCGCAAGCGCAGGAGGAACGTCGTCATGCCCGAGATGTACCTACCAGAATCATCCTTCTCTGCTCAACTGCGAGATATGTGGTGCATCCTTGACAACAGCCATAGATAAGAGGTTGGATATGCTTCAAGAACCTACTAGACCGCAATCTCCAGGTCCGACTTTATCTTCACCTTTGCAGTCCGAGTCTGTCGAATGCATCAAGATATCTTTCCGCGCCGGTGGAGGACCGATATTTTTCGAGCGCCTGAAGAACGCATTGGTCCAGCGCAAGTGGCTGCTTCAAAGCGCCCCACCGATTCCCAAGCCACGGCCGTCTTCCGGTAATTTTAACGACAGCTACACAGCCAACTCTGACGCTTCATCAACGGAGGTTGAACGACCTCGCGTGGTCGGCATTGCGGGGCTGGAGCGAAGAGGCCTGGAGCAGAGACAGAATAACGAGGCTATGATTGGGAGCGCTTTCGAAGACCTCGATGCGCTTATGACTTCCGCGAAAGAGATCATAGCACTGGCAGAACAGTTTGCATCACAGGCCAATCTGGGGACTAACGGCAGCTCGGAAGCCAACGCTTTAGCATCTCAGTCCGCTTCCGCACTCGGCCTAGTGACAACAAAGGACATGCTCGGTACAGGGTCTGGCTCTGAGTCGCTATACGTATCGGAGCTGTCAAGAAACTTGGCAGAATGGCTCACGGACGACACTCGAGGTATACTCAGGAAAGAGGGCGGTATCATGACCTTGGTAGATTTATGGGCTGTCTTCAACCGCGCAAGAGGTGGTGTTGAGCTCGTAAGCCCGACCGACTTCGAGAAGGCAGCTCGAATGTGGGATACATTAAAACTTCCCGTGCGCCTCCGTCAGTTCAAGAGCGGGTTGCTCGTCGTACAAGGACGCGATCGCACCGATGAGAAGACCATTGCGAGTTTGCTGGCATGGCTCAAGACGCTACATCAAGCACCACCAAGCATGGAAGTCACCTGGGACTGGCAAGCATTTGGCAGGGGTGTCACTGCTCAAGAAACAGCAGAGCGATTCGGCTGGAGCGTTGGAGTCGCGACGGAAGAGTTGGAGATGGCTGAAGAAGCCGGCGCACTGTGCCGCGAGCAGGGCATCGACGGTTTCAGATTTTGGGAGAACTGGCTGGTCAACATGCCAGAAGTCACTGCCGGCGTCTGATAACTTAGAAAGGTGGTTGTTCGTATCTCATAAAAAGAAATACCAGAAGCCCTAGCTAACACTGGATTGACAGTGGGTCCAATAAGACGTACTACCCATCCTCAATGACTTCGCTTATTTCTTTCTCGTGAGATGAGAAATCCGAGCCATTCCGCGTTGATGTCGGTGGCTTATTATGAACAGTTTCGAGGAATAGAGTGCGAATATCCGCAAGTGTACGGTACCTACGGGTTGCATGTGCCAGCATCGTCACGTAACCGCTTGAGCAAACAGCTATCCCCACGAACAAGCGAATCAGAATTACATACATCCATCACAATGCAACTAGGCACCAGCCGCGGGAGTGACCGCGTATCCACCGCCCTCTCTGACAGGGTCCGAGCTCGGCCCATACCACGCCCACGCACCCCGCAACATCGAGCCTCACTCTTGCAACATCTCTCCTGCATCCACCAACCTTACACCACTAATGACGCCTCCCATGCCGGCCAAGTAAGTATTGTTGAGTGTTGCGATCGACTATGATCTGTTATAGTAGCTAATATACGTGATATAGGGCCCGTAAATGGAACGCGAAGACAGTCCAGGCGGTCGACAGCAAAGGCGCAGGCAAGAGCGCTGGCATGAAGCGAGCCATTGGCAATAGCAACTCCGAGCCCCCAAAAAAACGTCGAAAGGCCCAGGCAGCTGCCACAGAAGACACGATCATCCCCGAAGCAGACAAGGTGACAAATGCGCCATGGGTGATAGATCCAGATCAGGTGTTTAGGTTCCTCGATCTGCCAGGAGGTCAGTCATTGCTGTGCACCTGAAACCTAAACTTTACTGACTAAACCTAGAACTACGCAACCGAATCTACGGAATGGCGATCGAATGGAGCTTCCGCAGCTTTCCTAGGACCCATGAAAAGCCAAAGAAATCCAGACGCAGAAACGCAGTTGAGGAGAAAGCAGCCGCCATCACCCAAGCGAGACCGCTTCCTTACATCGGCTTGACACAAGTTTGCTCGCTGATTCGTACTGAGTTTCGTCCTTTGTGGCTGTCTACTCATCAGTTCCCGCTCTTCGCACTAGAAGGATACTTCAAAGCGTTCTTTCCAGTGTTACGTGGAGGTTCACGATTAAACGAAGACGTTCGGAAACGCATCAAGAGCTACTCCAAAGCGACCGGCACCCTGCGTCTCTGGGTCAGAATGGACTGTTTGAAACACGTTGATGTCCTCCCACTTCTCAAGTTCAGGCACCGGTTCCCTGAGTACACCATAACGCCCCAACCTGCACCATTCAATGTCGACACGCTCACCATAGACTCGTTCACGGCTTTCATGAACACCAGTCATGCGACCTGGGTCAGGTACATCAAGCAACACCGCATTACACAGATCAAGTTGCAAGTTAGCCGTTATACAGTCGGACCCTCCAACTTGCCCATGCGTATCGTTCTTAAAGAGAAAGACGCGCTTGGCTGGATGGGATCAGGTCTAATTAGCCAGTCCCACCTCGTGGAAGAGTACAAGAGATTTCTGGGACTCGATCCAAGTTGGGGTGTTACTTTTGCCGTGGATTACTCATGAAGGGCCAATTGCGCGCGATGAGCAACAGAGGTGCCCAAAACCTCGGAATACTTCTGTTACGGCGTGCGGAGGAAGTGTAGGGTACACTTATCGATCTTTACGTGATACGGCGGCCATGTCTCTTGTTCTGAGACATTGTTTCACGTATGGCCGGCAGGCCTTGCCGTCATAGACCTATTAGTTGGGATTACTCCACTCTACTTTAACAGCCAAAGGTCTACAATTGAGATGGCGAGGCAGGCACGAAAAAATGAATTCAGATATGATTGATAGTCTAGATGCATACATCGTGTACCATGAAAAGATACGGCTGATCTGCAGGAATGCCGGTCGTGCAGCTGCTCAGCTGGTGACATGTCATGGCGCGTGACGTCATACCGAAACTCCTACCAGCACATGCCATGAACTTTAAACAGCATGTATACTTACGCATTCAACCACTCCATAACTACGACTGCATCTTCAAGACCACTTTAGAAGGGTTATCTGGGAATGTTAGAAGTCATTTCGATGCCAAAGTGGAGGATACTCACCCCCAAGGAGATCCGCAAAGACCCCTCCATCGTCTACCATCAGAGGCGCGTCTGCACGTTTTTAGTATGAGTATGATCACATCACCGCAATACACATACTGGAGAACTTCAGTTGGTACGAGTCACCATCCTGGCTTGCAGTAACTTTATGCACGGGCAAATCGGTGTCTGCCTTGAACCACCACACTTGCTTTGGAAGGAAGCTACGGTCTTCTACCATGGCTCGTCCAAGAATGTGACCGTCGCACTGCAGACGGCTGCCCTTGAGTTCAAAGACGGCTGCGTCCGTGCCTGTTTTCGCATGCGTCTTGTCTTCGGCGTTGCCGTCGACCTTGGCGATGGGGCTGCCATCGATTTCGATGGTGAAAGGGGCGGGGAGGCTATCCATTTCTTTTGACGAGAAGATGTGGAATGATATTAGGATCAGAGAGAATAATCCAAATGCCCACAAGAGGTTGCGACGACCTTTCGAATCAGCTGGCATTCGTTCTGGATGTGGTGGGTATTGCAGTGCAGAGAGTTGAGATGGTGTCAGGAGTATTAGTAGCAGCTGCGCCACGCATGTTGTGCAGGCAAGGCAACAGTCGAAGTACCTTGCATATGACGCAGACTTCGGATGAGGCTGAAGGCACTGCGCTAGTATTTCTGCATGGCGTTATCTGGCATTCATGCTCGGCGCATCAAGCGACATGTTGACGAAAGCAATTTACGTATACAGTGGCCTTATCGAAGCAGAGTGTTGTTGACTATGGTACCGAGGCTGGACGCGGACGCGGCCGGGCGCTGAACACAACGTTTCGACCGCCTTTGTTTCTCGACCACTTCACATGCGGTAAACCACCGGCAAGCACTGGAGATCTCCATACCAGCCATACTATGTGCAGGTTTCAGCGCCGTTGTGTAGATCGATACTACCTCCGGCAGTCTGCCGGCTCACGCGCGCGTCGCCAAGACATTAAAGCTCCGCCCTACCAATAGCTCCTCCATCTCCTGCCTTTCCTGGCCCAGAGCCGGTGTCACCCAGCGAACGCCATAATGCGACATCCTGAATGCTCGCCATCTCCGACGTCGCAATGTGCATGCCGGGGCCAAGTGCGCGAGTGTTTTGCTAGCAGCCCATGCGGACCTATCCGTTGTGGCAGGTCAATCCTCCTGCCTTTTCCCCACTGGCGTACTAGTCACGCCTAACCTAACATCAACACACTATTCGTCCCCCGACAAAATGGCACAAATCACGTACAATGCCGATCATGTAGGGCAATATACACAGCCTGCATCGTGGTTCGCCTACCACGAGATGTTACAGGAACCTGGTCGGCGCTTGTGTCGGTATGCACACCACATGTGGCAAAATCTCTTGCCTCTTCAGGAGACAACGCATGACGGCGCTATACGCCGCGATAAGATCGCGTCGATTCGATGGACTCTACGAGGACCAAGACTATGGCAAAGGAAATACGATGGTACTTCGGCTTTACTATAGCTAGGATATGGAACGGCGTCACAACCTCCTGCTATCTAGGGAACAGCGTCGCTGTAACGGCCTTGTTGCGACACACCCCGAGTAGAAACAACCATGTTTGATGGCTATGTTGCGGTTGCCTGAGGCCGTGAGAGGAAACAGTCTTACTTTCGACATGTTTCAAGCACAAGAGATGGCTGAGATCGCAGCCCTAAGCTAGAATGAGACAGGGGCGAAAAAGCAACGATCTGGAGAAGCGGACCTGCAGACTGCAGCTGTGAGGCAAAACTCGCCTTGATCCTGGTATACGGGAGCAACCGCTAGATCAGCTTCGTCCTTCGCATTCGTTGTGAGGTAAACAGCCGGAAAGCTTATACTACACACAGATAACGTACCTACATGGACAGGGTCACCTAGCACGCACCGGCGCGCCAAAGGTACGATGGGCGGACTCTCGTTAAGACTTCGCCAAGCCGAAGCGGACCCCCAATTCGGAAGGACAAAGTGCACACCTAGTCGATCACGCTTGGCGACTCCGGACAACACGATGGAGACACTGCACTGGATTGCGTGTTTGATGATCAGGGGATGATGGTCTGTGTATAAGTATAGAGTCACTTCCCTTTCTTTTCATCATCAGCCAGCTCAGTCAGTCGCTTGTCTCTTCACTTCAATCACTTCACAGTCCTACTCCGTGTAGCCTCATTCACTCGAAACAATCATCATGCGTTTCCAATCTATCATCGCCATCGCGCTCCCTGCGCTCGTCCTTGCGGCTCCTACTCCTCAAGACCCCGAGTACGAGTTCCCCGAGGATGCTCCCGTTGACGACATTGTCGGTGGAACCGCTGCTGCCTCTGGCGACTTTCCCTTCATTGTCAGCCTTCAGAAGAACGGACAGCATCTCTGCGGTGGTTCGCTTTTGGACGCCACCACCGTCGTCACTGCTGCTCACTGCTCCGTGAGCTCAGTCATCGGCTCTGTCAGCACCCTCAAGATCCGTGCTGGTAGCCTGCAAAAGGCATCCGGCGGTACATTGGTTGGCGTCTCCTCCGTCACCGTCCACCCCAACTACCGCAGCTCTGGTCAAGACTGGGATGTCGCCATCTGGAAGCTCTCGACTTCCGTCGCTGCCAGCGGCTCCATCGGCTATGCTCGCCTTCCTGCTGCTGGCTCCGACCCCGCTGCTGGATCCAACGCCGTCGTTGCCGGCTGGGGTGCTCTCACTGAGGGCGGCAGCAGCCCTGCTGCTCTCCAGAAGGTCACCGTCCCCATCGTTTCCCGCGCCAGCTGCCGCTCCTCCTACGGAACCTCTGCCATCACCACCAACATGATCTGCGCTGGTTTCCCCCAGGGTGGAAAGGACTCCTGCCAGGGTGACTCTGGCGGCCCCATTGTCGACTCCTCCAAGACTCTCATTGGTCTCGTCTCCTTCGGCAACGGCTGCGCTCAGGAGGGCTTCCCCGGTGTTTACGCTCGCACCTCTGCGCTCCTCTCCTTCATCAACTCTGTCTAAGCGCTTGCTGAACGGACTTGTACTTTCTGAATCACGACAACGGACGGATATGGTTCTTCAACGAAGAGTCGGATGATTGTGAACGACGATGATATACCAAGTGGTCAGAGGTTTCATGAAACCTCTTGCAAAACCATGTTTTGATACGCCTTTTTTGTATATATCCATTAGCTACGAAATGCATTCAATAACTTCAAACATTACGCTCAAATTCATTTTAACATGCCTGTGACATCATTCTCGCATCAACCGGCACCAACGATCAAGATTTTGTCAACACCATGTATCCTTTTTCCAGGCACCCGAAATTCCAATCTATACGAGACCAACGCATGCGAGGCCGCGTGTACTTTCCCAACACCATCCCATGACGTAGAACCCCAACAATTTCCTGCCAGATGCCGGATCCCCTCGAGTCTTTTAGACAAAACGGTGTGGGAAAAACGAAGGAAGTGGCCGTTGAGCGGGATGATGCTTGTAGGGCTGAGAACAGCAACAAGCTTCGCTGTCGCACATTGCTTTTTCGTTCCATCTTTAGACGTATTTTGACATGTGTGTCAGAGTATAGAGAGAGAGAATGAGAAAAACTGGCGGTGTAGAATAACCTGTTTGTGATCGCGATCTCACAGCCATGACATGTTTGAGAAAGTCTTTCGATCAGGCGGCGGAAGAACAAAACATCAGCTGCCAGTACCATAATTTTGAGCAAGGTTTCTAGAAGCTGAATGCAGCGGGTACGCATGCCGTAGAACAAGCGATCATGGTTTTGTGCACACTTCGATATGGACACACCATGTGCGACGGCGTGTGCCTTTTCGATGTAGAACACTGGCTGTCACGATGATGTTAGACCTCTAGACATATAACCACACAGCTAAGTACACGGGTATTTCTGGCTTACAGCCCAGGAAAGACATGTTTAGGTCGTGGTTATGTTTTCGATCTAGATATCCGGTGCATGAGAATCTCTTTGCAGCGCCTGGATCAAAGCGATCACTTTCTTTCAACATGACATTGTATCCGAGTTTTTTGGAAAAAGGGAAAGAACTCCATGAGTTCTTTGTGTACGGCTTTGGAGCACTCAGCAGACATATGGATCTTCGCTCTTGTTTTTTGGTGAAACTGAAACTGGAGTTGATGAAGAAGAAGACTTCGAGAGAGCATACGAGAGTCTTTTATATATCCTGATCCCAAGACGAGCCTCTAGCTCAACGGTAAAACCGTTGCAAGACCGGGATGCTTGCTGCACATGGGTAGGCGGTTTCGAACTTTTAATATCGATCGACAAGACACTGTACGCAGACCATTATTGTTACTCGACGACAAGATCGCAAGGCATCGTTGTCTTTCCTTCATCCTTACTATTGTCTCTGGTTTTTGGAGAACTGGAGATATGCTCCATGTAATGTTGCTTCGTTTTGTTTGGAAAAAGCGCCCATCATGACAGAGTGTTTGTCTGTTTTGGATTTTCGATGGTAGGAAAGGCTGT